TCGTGCTAATGAGTCGTGTCGTATACTGATGCCCTTACTCTCTGTTCCAAGCTCTATGACTTTAGATTGCGAGTCTTCTCCCCAAAGCCCTCAACCCCAACACAATGAGTCTGCGAGCGCTGCAGAATGGCTGCAGAAACAGGCCTGATATGATCAGTCACGGCTGCTACGTCCTTTATGTCTATGATCTAAAGAATCTGTACGGACTGATTATGCTCCGGACGTTGTACAAATTCCTACATGGCCACTCAGAACATCCAAGTCTACATAATCCGGTTACCAGTCGAGAAATGAAGAACCTGAAGCATGAAACTTAGTTCCTGGTGACGAAAACCCAAGCAGAGCATGTAGATGGCTTAGCTCAAGCTGACTGTGCATAACCAAAAGCAAACCAAAAAGAATCAAAACAGAAAGACTCCATGACTCTGCTCAGCAACAGCTGCTACGCTCGGCGCACCCGGCGCAGCTGTGCCTCCTTCGGCAGCAGGACAGGGCTGGGAAAGAGCATGAACCAATTATAATTTAAAAAGGCTGCCTACCTCAGACACGACGTGTCCGCTCCCTTAACTTAAACCCCAAACCCTGAACCCGGAGCCAAGGATTCAGAGACGTGGCTTTATTCCTTGCTCCGACCTTCGAAGACAACATGGGCTGTCCTAAAACTCGGATTCCCTTACTGGGGGTCCCCAAAATAAAAGTCATGATATATTGGGGTCTATACTGGGGTCCCATATCTGGGAAACTACATAGTATATGTCAGCACTCTGCTAGCCTTCCCACTAGCTAGGGGTAAAGGCACAAGCTTGCGCAGGAGGTAGTCTTCTCGTCCCTAAACCCTTATCGCTGAACCCTGATGATCCCTGAACCCTACGTAAACACGCTAAATTTGATGCCCTGAACTCGCTGAGTTTCCACTTTCTTCTGCATTCCCTACTTACCATCAGCAAGAAATCTGCTACTGGACATCACTAAACCCTATAGTCACCCTTAAGTAGATAGACTATGGGGTATATGGGGATCTCATTAAAATCTACCCAAAACCATATTCTATCTACTTAAGGGGGACTGTAAACCCGTAGCCCTAAAATCAACCATGAGCCCCTCAAGCTTCAACCCTAAGCTCCTCAACCCCCCCGAAAGTCTAAACCCTCAATAGCACTTTCCATTCTCTTTTCCATTATCCTATGAATCCCTATATAACCTAAAAGGACAATCCCTAGGTCCTAAACCCCAAACCCAACCTTAAACTCTAGAAACCGGTTCGGGCCTGGATTTGCGGGGACCGGCTTAGTGGCCATCTCAACGGCCTCTTTTTTAAGCCATGCTCCCGCTAGTAATATATTAACAGACCCACCCGATATAGCATCATTAAAATAGGGGGAATATTGATCTATGAGCGGGTGAGTGCTAGATTATCAAAGGGGAGGGGATTGCGCTGGTTGATAACAATCTTCCATGGCTGTAGTATACTATGAGGGTAAGCTTCCCAATCATAGTCTGCTAGAGTTTCCGGTTAGGTTTGGTGACTCCAAGGTAAAAGACTCTAGTTTTCTTTGTTTAGGAATTTGAAGGTTGGAGTTTAGGGGTTTTATTCAGGCTCTGGGGTGTTCATTCGTATTGTGCCACGCTCGATGGGTCTCCAGTCAAGCTTTGCTGCACTCCCAGGAAACATTTTTTGGCACCCTGCCAAGTCCAGAGTGCCCCATGTTTCCCACTGTACTGGGAATCACTGTGTTATTGGTGGTCTTTTCCTCAGCAAGGTCTGCAGCTCCGTGACAACTGCCTAACCAGAGCCACATGGTCAAACAAGCCAGGACGCTTGTCGGGTCTTGTGGCGTTCCAGCTGCACATCCTCAGTTGATGCCAAGCGGGGATTCCTGGCAATTATGCATCTGTGCGGACTGTATTTGAGCAAGCAACAACCCTACTTGCGAGAAATACACCCCTGACGCCAATCTCAGATGTGTTCTTTATGCTGTGCGCGGAAGGACCGGCGGTCAGACAGGCATGCCAAGTGAACCAACAAACAACTTGACGTTTGCCTGCGCGAGCTTCCAACAATCCATTGGGGCCTTGTCCTAAATTGGGGCCCGTTCCAGGCATCCAAGAATGCCAAGATACGACAGGAAGCCTAAAAGGGAACTTAACTTAGAGCAACTCCAGAGAACTGTGCATTGTCACGACTTCTAACTCCTCTCTTCCAAGCCAGCAGCAAGGCAGGTGTCGAAGATATCTAACCCAAGAGGGCGCTCCGGTCTCCTTCGCAGCGGGCTTTATGACTTAAAAGTTTCAATTTGAAACAGGATGGTTCAGTGTCTACAGCTTTGGGCTTGTGGAATACTTCTGAAGCAAAAATGCCTTCAGAACGCACCAGGCATACAATGTCACATGACTTGAAGGCGTTTTCGGTGAATGAGCAAAATTGAGCTCCATGTAACTGCGAATGCAGATTCAAAGTAGCGCGTGTCCAACATGATATCAGGAGTATGTCCCGTATACTTGCCCCAGTCTTACTGACTATTCTCAGTATCACTAGATTTATTAGGTCTCAGTAGGGAATATTGGACTATCACTCCCGTATAATCTTGAGAGAATTTTGCCCATATTCCCTACTACACCCCAGTATGTAGACAGGTCTCCTGTGCCGTGGGCTCGGGTCAACCAATAAGGAAAGTGAAGCAACGTTTGCTGAAAGAAAAGTGCTGCAGTGAACATTAAGCATCAGTCCAAACAACCTAAAGTCCGGGTAGAGGGTGAAATCAGCATTTGGAATAGGCTTCGGAGCTTGAAGGCTTCAACAAACAAGATACTCGCAGGATCCGTGATGATCATGCTAGGAACACTAGAGAAGCAGAAAGAGAAGAAGACAACCAGCAACCCCAAAACCATCAACCATGCAGGGGCGTCCTCAGTGGCCCGGCAAGTAGTGCCGCCGCAAGCGCACCCTGGAAGGAGGGTTGGAAAGGCATCCAGATTTTTGGGGCATCTTCATGAACATTTTACATCTCAGAAGACCGAATGCTAGAGTCTTGCACTTTAGCTAGGCCCCTGTGAAGCTGGGGTAAATCTTCGTCCGGATTACATTTCTCAAAACACGGTACTGCCTCAAGGAAGGACACTGCAAAGAAGACGACGTTCGCCCAAGCCACGGCTACCTCCCAAAGGATCCCAACGGAAGCTTTCCGGCTCAGGCACCAACACCATGCCAACAAAAATTTCTCATCAACGTCATCGACACACCACTCCAATGATACTTCGGAAGGTGTAGAACACTGGGGAGATTTAACCACTAAGGCTTCAGCTGAAGGTGTAGGGCTCGGGGCTGACTGCTAGTGGGCTGTCTGGACGACTGGAAAAAGGGATGCCCACGAACTGCAACGTCTGGACTGTTCAGGGTGAAGATTGGGGTGTAGAACTTGCTCTCTGCTAAGCCGATGTGCCGTACGAATTCACTGGGAAGTCAAGGCAAACATGCAGCGCTGGAAAATGCAAGCAGCATGTAGCCCATGCGCAAGGGGGAGCCACATCCCCACCTGCTCGCACAAGCCTGGAAAAAAGCGCGCCACCCTTCAAAGGTGCTGCACGCATTGCACTAGATTCTGCACGGCACCATGAGCCCCTCCAGTGAATTCATGGTCGCTATTCATCTATGGAACCCAAAGATGCTACGTACCTTTTTTCATGTTGAAAGCAACCACGAAGTTGAGGAAACCCTAAATTTCTGCTGGTCACAGGGTGTCATACAAATCGCTTTTACAATAGCAAGTGAGCCATAGTCCAAACTCCTAGTATCCCCCTTAATATCCCCTATAATAGGCCCTTATATAATCCCCTATATAACCCCCCTTTCAGGAGTTTAGACTATAGCTCAAGTGATTTGAGACGTTGGCTCTCGTGTCTGTAACTGAGCCTTGCCCTCCCTGAATTTTAGAGTTTAGGGTTAGGGTTTAGGGTTTAGGGTTTAGGGTAGAGGGTTTAGGGTTTAGGGTAGAGGGTTTAGGGTTTAGGATTTAGGTTTTAGGGTAGGCTTTAAGGCTTAGGGCCTGGGGGGAACCGACCCCTTCCAGTACATATTTACGAAATGATGTCACGTCATAGCGGGCCCTGAAGTCCCAAAATCCCTTTTCCTGACAATACGGGGTTGCTAACTATGTCCCCCCTCTATTCGTACGGGGGGAAGTGATTACTGCAACCATTAAATGAAGAAGGGCCTACGGACCTAAACTAGAAGAATAGGGAGTTGGGCTGACAAGTGAAATAACTACATAAGCTAGAGGCTTCCATAGTCGCTTCTGCGCCCATTTTTGTATGTCTTGGCCCAGGGAACCTCAGGTGACTCACGGCTCATCAGCCCCACCAGAGTTGTCTGCTTCGGGATTCCGCCATAGTGCTCAAAGGACCCGATGCCTTCGCGACAGCACAATCAGAATGACAGCTGCACTTAAAGCAGCCCTGCTATCACCCGACGAGAAAAATCTACAAAACAAGAAGAAGACCAAGTTTCACGTGCACCTCATTCGGGTACATGGTAATAATCAAGGCTGACACCTAGGACCTAAGCCTGAGCAAGAAACAAAGTTGTTGGCTTCAGGTTAGCCATGAGGTCCGCACTTGCAAGTACTCGGAGGATCTACACGGCTGATATGAAACTTCACAGGAGGGCCATGGTCCACAACCTTAATCTGCAAACAGTGCCATGACTCAAACATGTGGCTGTTGCGTTGCCCACTTCACATTTTGCACAGCTGTCCTGCGGGCATCCGCTATACCCTTTCAGTATCAGAAATACATCTGAGACTTCAGTGCTCCCAACGACAAACTCAGTGATTCATGCCGTCATAGCATCCCTAATGCACTGCAGGTCTCAAAGTTGCATGCTTGGCTCAATGTCAGACACAAGCTCAAAATTTGAACATGAGCGCCTGTGCGACAACAAAGCCAGCATTGCAAACTGAAGAGAGATCAAAGATGTGGCTCTTCAAAATGCCACTCTCTGGGGTTTAGAACTCGTCTTTGACGGCCTTGACTGGGAACGCTTTAACTACCGTTTTTGCTGGCTGTGCCTTCACTTTCACTTCCTTTCCGAACATCATTTTCTTGCCAGCCTTGGTGGCTTTCTTCTTGCGGGTCTTGATCATGACGAGCCCAGGAAGGGTGAACTTCCCTGCCTTCTTCAACTCCTTGGTGGCAAGGCCTGCGAGGGAATCCAAGACCTGCATCACCTCGCTCTTCTTCAAACCCACGCTGTCCACCAACTGTGCGGCAATCTCACTCTTTGGAGCCGCTCGGGCTGCCTTCATGGCCTTCATGGCTTTCATAGCCTGCAAACTGCAAAACCACAGCACGTCAGCTTCGGCAGGTCCACTGTGCGCAACTTTGCTACTTAACTTTTTGGAATGAAAATTACGGACCACAATGCGTTGGCACCCCTCGGTAGCTAAGATAAATCGGTAAATTTCAACCTTTGCCTTCTACTGAGATTAGATTAGACGAAAAGCGCCGCAACACTACTGCATGAGCACGACCCCACATGCCACCGGCCTTCATCGCTTTCATGGGTCCCATGGCTTCTGGATTGGCTTTGGTGAGGGGCGCAAAGAAAGTTGGGCCAAACAGCTGAAACAAATAAATGCTGCTGAATTCCATGTGCTTCCACCAAAGATCCTAAGAAGGGCGCTTCACTAGGTGTTGGCCTTCGGACCCTCATTGTAGCAATCTCTTGCTGCTTGCCCCAGCGAACCCTTGAGAATCTCTAATTAGTCCCGCCACCCTTTGTAAATCGACCGAATAATCCCTTGCTCCTAATTTAAAAGCACTAGCCCCTAACAACAATATTCCCAGGATAGTACAATTATATACCACCGGGAAAATCTACTGGAAAATTTTGGGTCCCTGAATTTCCCGAGAGTTGCCTGGTACAACCTAGGGTGCTACTGTGCTTGGCATGCCGAACTCCCAGAAATCAGTTTAGCACTCCCAGGCTTCCCCAACAAAATCCTGTATAACGCTTACATCTGGTAGCTTCCCAAAAAAGGGGACCCCAATATAGCACCCCAATACACGATAGTCCCTATTGCTGGGACCCCCAATAAGGTACCCCTAATTTTGGAAAATCCTCATATACTTACAGTATCTTTCAAGCGCTTTCCAGCTCAGCCACACCAACGGTACTGACCGGCAGCCAGAAGTAAGAGCAGCGGCGACACGCCAGCGCAGATCTTCACGTACGGCCGGAACTTCCCCGTCGTCGCCTGGCTTGCTTAAGAGGGATCCTGGAATTGCATGGAATTCTTAAGGGGAACTACTTGTCAAAGGTGTCCCTATGTTGGCACTGCATATTCCGCTGTAACACCAGCAAGTTCATCTTTAATGTTTTCTTTGATTGTGAAGGCCCCTTTCCCCTCGAGTCACTCTTTCCATGATCACCCGAAGCTGGGTAGCCCAACTCACAGGGCCTAAGTGATGAAATTTCAAAATTGATGTTGAGGAAAGGCGGGGTATAACACTAGAGCGAAAGCATCGAGCCACTCATGAGGGGCTTCTGACAATTCATGTATGCGCGTTTTCCCTCCCTACATGTACCACCATCTCCTAAAACTGCATGAGGGAACCTGATACATAAACATGTGCATAGGTCCGTCCTCAGACACAGCCCAGCGCGGCTTCTTCGTTTTGGACAAGACCTGGTGGTCCTTGATCAAGAAGACTGCCCTTGGGCTCCAAGGCGTGGCTCGGGAACTTTCATGAACCCACATCAATCGCATCCAGGGATTGTGCAATCCAAAAAGGAACTACTCCGGTTGAGGAGGCTTGGATAGTTTGGGACTGACTCTGCGGCCTTCCTAAAATGGCGCAAGTTTGCCCTGAACCGTCTAAGCCCAGAAAATTACCAACATGATTCCCTCAAAGCCCTTCTATAGCTGTTGGTATATAACAAAAAACTAAACGATATATGAGATATGCTCTACAAGTCTCTACAAGATAACCTTAAGCACCATACATCACTTTCACAGTAGATGATAGCTGGCACATGATATAACATGGATACCATGTTTTGTATACTATGTGGAGTGTGCGTGACTTCATAATTTTCAGGTTTCCCCGTGCAGCCGCCATAGAACCAAAACTCACTCAAGCGTCGGCCAGAATTTTTCCTTGCATGGCCAATACAGAATCAGATTACAGCATCTTGAACATGGAAACACTGCAATCCAGTCCCATTACCCATACAGCATCAATCAAAACGGCACATGGGAATAGGATTCCGATAAAATCCTGTTTCCCCAACAATTGCGGCCCGGTGGCGTTGACAAGGTGGCGATCACGCTCAGCGAAGCCATGATGAACGCTGTGCGAGATGTCTGGATCATGATGCCTCGCGTGTGTATGTGGGGACAAAGTGGGTTCTTTGCATTGAAGCTTCAACTTGTGAGCTTGCAACACATAACGAAGACCTTCATTTTCGGAACGAACCTTGTGTCAGGGCATTGGGCAGTCATGATATTTAGGTTCAAGGGTTTCTCGCGAGGACGAAACCTTTACAAACGTAGCAATCGAATGGCCATTTGTTTTCAAACCACTGTTTCACATGAGGCCGTGTCAGGTCGCTAGAACTTGTCCATCACAACACTGTCTGAAATTTGAAATGATTTGAGCAGCGAATGCTCCGCCCGCATGCCACTACAGACTTTTGCAAAGCCAAGGAAAAGCTTCTACTACCGAACATGTACGCCATCAAACCAAGCATCTCCAAATCTCGCCATCCTCAGATTCAGATTGCCATCGAATGAGGTAATCTGCCAAGCATCCGTCCAACATTGTTATGTAAGCTAAAATGAAAACTTGTGCCACTCCAACTACAAAAGCCCTCAAGCCTGAGGCTCAACCTGTCTGCTTTGACAGCTTCGTTATACCTGGAATCTTCGGCCATTGCATGAGGCTGCAGAAGAAACCTAGGTGTTAAGCTTGGCTATGTGGACACCACAAGGGGTCTAACTTTAAGGACCTTTTAAAAGCCCAGTATTATGTTGGAGATCTTGCAAAGTTTTGGTTTTCGTTCATCCCTTGTGCAAACATTCTATGGATAGTTTATCTTCCTGGAAAACAAAAGTCGAAAGATCAATCATCCCTGCATAAATCAGATCAGTCCCTGATTCACAGAACTCCTACAAAATCCCACACGATGCCCAAGACCCCTGAAGCTTGCCAGCGCAGAGGCGCAATGAACTTTCCAGCATAATCACTGCGCTCGCAGAATGCCCCAAAGAGTTTGTACCTTTGTTGAGGCTTTGGGCGTTATGTGTTGGTTCCTGCAGCCAATTGTTGGGTCTACGGTTTTGTTACAATGCCGTCTGGGGTGGACGGCTCATGTGAGCCGTCCTAAAATTCGACAGCTAATTTGCAAAACATTTTGATCAAAAAGTGACACAAGTCAAAATCACGAATAAACGCTAGGTGTCAATACTGCGAATTGCTTGACCTGATGGTTGTATGCAGCTGAGACTACGGTCAACACTAACTAAAAATCTAGAATCTAGCAACGCCAAACTAGTTTCCAAGAGGTGAAATGACGCAACGTGCAATACTTGGATGGCTGGAGCTATGACCAATGCAGGATGCAGCAGTTCTGAAATTGCAGATAATGCAAATGCAAATGCAAATGACAACACATTCACGTAGGCAACCAGGGCTCCTGAGCCTTTGGAAGCACATTTCAAGTTCCTTAACAGGGCCCAACCATCCTCCAACATCTGAAGCTTCAGCTCACCTCAAACCAGCCATGTGGCACTTTTTACCCCCAACACCAGAACAAACAACCTCCAGCCCTAGACGACCCTGTAAAACCCGATAACTATGCAGCCCTATACAATTGCGATACATAACCCTATATGAGCTACGGTCTAAACTCCTAGCATCCCCCTTAATAAGCCCTATAACAGTACCCTCTAACAGTATCCTATATAATCCCCTATATATGCCCCCCTTTTAAATGACTTTAGACTATTGCCCATATGATACCCTACCCTGACGCAGGGCCTAGAGCCTCTACCCTGAAGCTTGGTCTACAATACCTCAACACCAAGACCTGCCGAAGTTAATTACGGGTCGTTTAGGAGCCCCCGCCCAGTGAGGTTGATAAATGGAGACTACAAATTACCTTCTTCAGCGTTTCAGGTGCAGAGGAGGGTCGGGTATTGCCCCCACCCCGTTAAAGTCTATGATAAGGGTAACATTGAAGGCTTTAAGTAGTCGCACTGAGATTATTTCATGACTGTTCCTGCGTGAGCGCAATATCCATTGCTTCAGGATAAAAGATCCATGCACAAGCTTCGTTTCAGTACCTTTAGCGCCTCAATCTGGGAACCTCGAAGAAGAATGGTGGCCAGCGAAATCAATGGGAGCCTCTTCAGGATTTTGGTGATGTGACCTGTACTACTAAATCAGCTGCCAGGCACTGCACGCGGTAGAGATTCTGGTTCTTGCAGAAATTCCTTGGAGCAACAAAAGGAAAAGCTTCAGGACCAGAGGTTGGTCTGCAGTGGTGATCCCATGATAGAGCAAAACATGCCAACATATGACAAGTATACCCGAAACCCGTATGCTGAAATGTTGGGCTTCCCAGGGGCAAGTTCCACAGCGTAGGGAACATCTCTACTCTCCCGTTGCAGAAGTCAATCGCCCACTGTTCCATTTCCGGTGAGGCGTACCTTTGCTGCCCAAAATAGCTGCAATGCTTGCTGCAATTGCCGACACCAGCTTCGCCAGAATTGCAACATGCACTTCAGTCCCGTAAACCCTAAACACTAAGTGGCAGTATGACTAGCTCAAGTCATGGAGCTGCAATATTTCTGAAAAAGCAAACAAGCAATGCCATCTTCAAGTCAAAGAGATTGTCATAGCTGCGGAAGCTTGGAGGCCCTGCTTTCAGAGACAATGACAATCAACCCAGGAATCTCGTTTTTGGAGAATTTGCAGGATTTCCGCAAGATCCTCCTGCCTTTGGAGGGAAGACCTGTCTCTGTTGCTAGTATACCACGGAGACCTTCTTGACGGGCCCACGCTAAAGGAAATCCAACTTTCTGAGAAACAATCTAACCAGACTAGGTTCTGTTGCTGGAGCAGCTTGTCTAAGGCTCTCTCCATCAGCGAACTCGGGCTGGCGTATCCTCAGCACCCCGCTGCACCCTTTGTGTAAGGCTCTCGGCTCTTCCGCCCAGCGCACGTCGGCTTCTGAATAGGGTGCAGGATGTGAGGCGTGGTTTGATGTTCATGCTAGCGTTTCGGATTTTAGACTCAAGGCTGGCGTAGTAGTCAGGCGTAGGGACTGGGGTTTAGGTTAGGGCTCAGGACTTAAGACATCCTAGGACCTGGTCCAGCAGAGAGTTTGCAGATTAGAGCCTGCTTTCAGGGTTGAGCGATGTCCCTTAGGCTTCACAGGGTCGGTTCCAAGAAGACTGGGCATGTGGCCCATATACACCACAAATGCCAACCCCTTACCCCATCGAATCAAACTCCAGAATGGAAAACCTCTGAAATATGCCTGCCCTAAACCCTACACATTCCTGCTGATACCATCTTGTACCACAGTCACCCCCCGGCAGGGACCCCAAAAATCTCCAGCAACCCACATGTAAGAGGCTTTTTTCCTCTGACAAAGCCAAGCAGCTCAGGGAGCAAACCACGAGGCTACACCTGTGATGGTGTATGGTAATTAATAATTAGTAAATGGAAAAGAAACTGGAAACTACTATAATGGGTTATATAGGGTTTAGGGTTTAGGATATAGATTTTAGGGTTTGAGGTTTAAGGTTCAGAGGTAGGAAAGACTCGGTTGCTGTTAGGGAGCATAGATTAAGTTTCTGTAGTAAGGAAGCCCCATGATTTCTATATGCTATTTTTCGAAACTTGAGTTAAATTCCTTAACAGCAACTCAGAAGATCATAGGGCTTGGGACATTGCATGCTTCTAAACAAGGCCAAAGAATGCCAAAGCCAAAAAAAAAAAAACGGAAATCCGGTGAGTTTAACTTGGGGTTGGGGCTTAGCTCTTAGGCGTTTGGGCCAGTAGCTTCAAATGTATTTTCCAAAATTCTCAAGTTACGGTCTGCGGTGCAGAGCGTTCTGTGAGACAGACGAAGCCTAGGAATATGAACTATGGGAGGTCTGAAGAGGCTATCTACGCAATTTTTCTGTGTTTATATATGGAAATATATATACTACATTTTTATGACTTTATGTTATATCAGATATCACATACACATAGAATATCTACGAGTATGGGCTTGGCCCTTGTTTGGGGGCCCAAAACAGAACTTTCAAGCCAGAACGCCTCCACTGCAGCTGACCACCGAGCCACACGTTGTAGTTGCGCCACCTTAGGTGACCGCATGGAAATCCTAAAAGGCCTTTGAAAGATCTGTCCAAGTAGGTGATTGACGTTGTGTTTTCTCCCTCGCGCCAACCCAGGGGTTTGGGAGAGTCTCCGCACACAATTGTTGTTGGTTCCACAGCACCGGGCATAATTTTTTGGCTCAGGCTCTGAATGCTGAAGAAGAACATGCCAAAGAGAGCACCAATTACCTGCCGGATTGGGCTTCTCAAGAAGTTATGGAAACACCGACATCCGAACAGTAAAAAGACAGGTTTGGCACGGCTGCTTGCGGCGGGAAGGAGCGCGCCAGTTTTTCTTGGGCTGGTTGTCAGCAGTTGATGCTTCTTGTCGCTGCACCTGCTGACAGCAAATCTCTTTACACTCCTGTGTGTCAGGCTGTACATTTTGAACAATAACATGTCACATGCTTCTGTACAAGCACGTTGCGCGTAGCCTCCTACATGAACATGAAGGCACGACCCATGTTCGTGATGGTCCCCTCAACAGTTGTGCACTGCACCACTTCCTCCTTGGAGTCCTTGCGAGCTCGTGGGCGAGGTACCTGGAAGGCCCGGAAGCAGCCCCAGGAGCCCTCTTGATAGAGCTGATCCTGGAAGGCAGGCTGATGGCCACAAGGCCAACCATATGCATAATGCAGCAGCCGTGAAGATGGCTGCATGATCTCTGCACTCACCGTGCCCCAGCAGGGACTGCTGGAGTCATACTTCTCTGCACTGCAGGTGCCGTGGTTGCAAATGCTATGGCCCCACCATGGGATGACTGGATTAGTGCTGCAGTCTTCCTTGATGTTAGCATGGTCACTCAGGATTGCAGCCATCACGTCCACATCAATGCTGCCACGGTACCTGGCGGCTAGCTGCCAACCACGCTGCAGTCGGCGCCCATTGTTGTTGCTCTGATGGCTGAGCTTAGCCTCTGGCAAGTTGAAGTCCACAAGCTCTGGACACTGGTGGCAGTTGACGGCCACCACAATCCCAGGGCTGTCGCGGGAATAGCGCTGCAGCACGGCCACGCCAAAAGGACCAACCTCCACCTGCGCCAGGTTTTGCTTGGCATCTGCCAGCAAGACTGTGAAGGCGGGAACAATGGCCTCTGCTGCGAGTAACAGGCTGAGAGCGTCATTCACATCCTCGCAGGTCTTCATCATCTTGCGGCTGAGGTCGGCAAAAGTCTGAGGAGTGGCCAGCTTCGAGTCGATGCTCTCATCAAAGGCGCGCTCCACCGCCAAGGCAGCGGTAAAAGCCAAGCCGGCAGAGTTGACACCACGGGTTGGCTGCCCCGGCTCCACCTCGAAAGGCGGCGGGCGATTTCCCGCAGCCTCGTTCGAGTCCACGTAGCGCAGCTCGGTACCAATGTGCCCGAATCCGTCCCAGGCTTGGACGGCCCGGACGAAGGTGCGGAATAGGTAAGGGTCGTCGCTGACGCCTCCAATAAGGGCCTCACCTGTGACTGTCACGCCAAGCCCTGTCGCACCGAACAGGAAGCACATGGCAGTGACTCAAAAAGCTATTCGTGATATGCGAGGCCAAAAGGAAAGCTGCCGTGCAAAGGTGCAGATGTGAAATGCGTAGACTGCATAAAATCCTAGATCGAATCCTGCACTGCTTGCACTTTTCGCATAGCTGACCGTTAAGCTTAGGGAGCACAAGATTTCAAGCATTCTGGGCAAAAGCAAGACCCCACCTGACAGACACTCCAGAACAGCAGGACCCACACCACAAGAAGCCCACACATCCCCATCCGGCCGACACGGCGAGGCCAACCAACGACAGGCATACCTGCACGTTGCAGCAGCACAGGATTCTCTGAAACAAGAAGCTGAATAAAGGCAGTGGCTCGGGAACCGCAAACCTATACCTTTAGATGCCTTGCATTGCACCCAACAATGCTGACTGGCGACCAGGCTGGTCCCATGTTCTCGCGAAATGCGCATGCCAAGATTCAGCTCCCATTTCTAGCTCCAGCTTGTACACATGCACGACACCAAAATGAGATTTTGACTGCCGGCGGCTGACTATGACAAAATCTTCCTGGCGATACGATTCCGTGGCAAATATGTCATCCATTGAAGTCCTAGTCCTGTAAGATCAGTTGCTTGTATAATCTGTGGCCTTCCAAGCTTAATCCTTCACATCAACTGGCTCAGCAAGCATACGAACCCCAAAATAACGCTATTTAACCCCATGTCAACCTCTATAGGACCCCTATATAGCACTGCGCCATCTCATGGGGTTTGTGGGAAAGTGCTGGGAGAGGGTGATGTGCCATCGTCCATGGCTCATGGGGCTGCCAGTCTTTCACTAGTCCAAATCAGTCGTGGTCGTCAAGTCTGGGCTAACGTCGCAAAACTGAGCTAAGAATCTGAATGAAACAAGGCTTGCGTGCACTTTCTTGAATCATGACTTGTTATTGAATGTACTGCCGTCATGACTGCCTCCGTCACCACTGCATCGCTACCACTGGCGTCATACCCCTCATGATGCGCAGAATTTCACATATGACGCAAGAAGGCTTGGCTAAGTCTGGTGGCAGAATCTCACACTCACCCTCAAGATGGACCAGAAGTTTGATTTGTAGAAGCCCTCTGATCCACCTGAGGAGAGCAGCCATCATGGTTGCCCTCGCGGTAAGGCGCTGCCTTGAGAGTATTTCTCGCACTTACAATACAATGACTTCCGTAGGGTCTACTGGGGTCTCTCAAGGGCTCTCTGGCATTCCATAGGGGACCTTATGAACGAGATGAAGCTCACAAAAGGCCACAACGAGTCTTAGCACTCTGATGGTAAGGTTCAGGTTTACCAGGTTCACGCAGAAGCCCCAAACCCTAAAATCGTCCACAGTGGTGATGCGAAAGCCATGGCCCGGATCAGCACCCTTTTCCTCCATAATGGCCCTCTTTGGAGGGATACCTGTAGGACCTCCTTCAGCACCCTCAATATAAGGTTTAGATTTAAGAATGGTGTCTACGTCCCTTACCTTCCCAGGTTTGCAGCAACGGCTTTTATGCCGCCAGGTTGAAGAGGGGGGGGGCTCGACCAGGCTGCAAGATAAGCAACTCTTTGTGCTGCACTCTACAAATGTAGAACCACAACAAACGCCTTCAAAGTAAACATTGGTACTACAGTGATGATTCACTTGAACTGATACTCAGTAAGCGGTGGGGTCGATAGTTAAGAGCTTTTGTGCTGAAGGTCAGCTAAGCTCATGATAAGCACGGCCTGAGAGCGCCTTTCCCCGACCGTCTCTCCAGCCCTAAACGCACGCAAAGGTTCCAGGGACCGGATCGTGCGCCGCCGGATATGTGCCACTTCTTCGCTCGGCATGCGGCCACGGCTCCAGGAAGGAAAATGATGAGAAGACGCTAAAGGGTCTAGAGGGTTATGAATTGTCGAAAGGGCTCAGACGTGATTATGTGGCAATCTCCGGCGACGATCTAGACCTGCTATCAATGTTGTTGAATAGCGGAGAGCTCCATCACCTAAAGTCAGCTGTCGTATGGACTCTTGCCTGATATTCAGGGAACTTGAAGAGATGTGTATCGCGGGATTTTGTCTCAAGAAGTCAGAGAGGGGAAGGCTGACTATCATCGTCTTGTGTGCTTATGTGTGCTTGGCGGGTCTGCGGGCCAAATGGCTCGAAATCCTCCACATAGGGAAGAACCAAGAAGGACATTCATTAGATATACCCTACTATTACAGTGTACTAGTTTCCATTTTCTTTTCCGCTCCCAGCATAACCTCTGTATGTTCCCTACTACCCCCATTTTGGAACAAACAGGGGAATCGACCTCCCTTGTCAGGCCACGAACACAAGGACCCTCCGAAACAGCCGCAAATTGTGAGAACTCCATCCTGCACAGTTCTGCTGGGCAATCGCCTCGAAAACAGCGCGAGCTTTTGTTGTCCCCCATGGCTGCGGATCCGACAAGTCATGCCCCTGCCTACTCTCGCAGGCCAGTTTTGTCTTGTTTCCAGGGTCTGTGGTTCCGGGGCCGGAGGGATACAGGGAATGCAGTTTTAGGGTTTCAGTGGCATGGTGGGGGGCTACTTGAAGAACAGGGCAATGTAAACCATTTCAGTGCTATTATTCATTCATATCCTCCCAATTGGTCTTTGGTCCTAATTCTCAAAGTATTATCTCACTGTTCTCCTTCTTGCCTGATAGCCCCTTCAAAGGGATCCATTTTTTGTTACCAACATGATCTGGGCTCCCCAGGTCACAGCTCACTCTTCTCCTCTGCCGAGGGAGAGCCATCCGCTGCCACCCACCTGATCTTGAGGGAGGGGAACTGGCACATGTACTAGAGTCTAAACTTTTTTGAAGAGTGGCTGTATAGGGATGATGAGGGGGAGTGGTATAGGGGGTAGTAAGGGGGATACTAGGAGCTCATACGGATGATCCCACCAAATGACCCCTTAGTCCCTCAATTATCTGAAAATGTCTTGTTACACATGTCTTGGGTGCATGGGGCCAAGAATACCACCGCCTAAGCCTGAAACATCATGTCTCAGGAGGAGGAGGACATCCTCCAACCCAAACAAGCCTCAATCGGCGCCAATCATCCCCAACATCTCAACACCGCATGGTTCAGATTTTCTGAGGGAACGATTCCAGTGGTGTCCTTCACACCAGGATCGAAGCTCAGAAGCCCCTGAAATGAGTCACCTCTATATGCCTATTAGAAAGTCTGATACCTAAATGGTGGTTTCCCAAATTCAGGCGTACCCTTTGGAGGTCCCAATAATAAGGATTAACATAGTTCGGTGTCTACATTAAGGTCCCCCCAATTTTGGGAAACTACCATATATCCTTCTTCAAGCTAAGTATAGCATCTCAGAATGCATCCACCTACATTGGCTCCCGGCTCATTGCCTACTTCCTGCTACTGGCACACTGCTATCCGACTTCTGTTCCCTGCACATCAACACCACTAAGAGAGGTGTTTCCATGTTGCAAAGCCACATGATCTTCCCCAGCTGCAGCTCAGGGAAGTCATAACCCACAGAAATCAAATCTCGAATCCAGGCTTGCGCTAGCCTGCAAAAGGGGAGTTGAGCTTTAACACTTTAGTTATGGGATGCTTGGGGGTTAGGGGCTCAGGGCGTAGGGCTATCTGAGGCCGGTCTGTGCCATCAGGCGTGCACTAGCCAGAAATCCCCTCCGACCCCGCCTAATATTAAATATTCCCATGGTGCAAAACAATTGGAATACTCAATTTTAGGGGGGGTGGGCGGTGTTAATATTAGGGGAGGGGATTAGTGGCCCTGGTGCTCTCCAGCAAACCAGGCAATTATCACTTGGTGAGAGGATCTTATCCATGAGCCCACCCTAACGACTACGCGAGGGTCGACAAGTGGTTAGTACTTGGATTTAACTGAAATTATGTTGAAAATGAAGGGCTTAATGAAACTTGGAACATCAGATGGGCTGTTGTCAAAAATGTTGTCCATTTTGGGTACCTAGCCCGCGGAGCCCAGTTGGCTGCACCCACCCTGCACGAGGCGTCTGAAGGACAGCACAAATGATTTTTCCTTGGGTTTCAGTACGATGCTTGTTGGAAAAGAGCTATCTCCAAAACAGCAATGCATGAAATCTCAACGAAATCTGGACGATGTACGAAACACCCAGGCGACTGGTGTGCAAGTCTACCAACTACTAACTCTAGAAATTATCAACTTTCACCTTGATACAGTGGGAGTCGGGCCCACACGTATAGCACCACTAGATTATCTTGCACAATCTTCCCTACATGCTTCAAGCCCAAACAAAAAACCCCGAACCCTAGACCCCCACCCCCCGTGCCTGAATCAAAACCCACTCACATCCCTGCACATGCAATTGTATCCCAATCTAACCCAATCGTCATAACCCTTAACCTGACTGCTGCCTCACATCCTCGAGCTCCACGAAACCGCCTAGGCTTGCTGCAATTTGGCATTAAGCCCTTCTCTCTAAAATCGAGGACGGAGATCGGGCCAGAGGTTGTTAGGGATTCCGGTCTACACGGTTTAGGGCTTCATGATTTGCATGGCCGGAGCAGAATGCAAGACAGGTTTCGGGCTTAGGGTTTCGGGTTCACCCAAATACTGGTAATCCATAGTCTCAGGGCATGTAGGATGACCAAACATAAATCCATCTTAGAAAGCGTTCTAACCTAAACCCTTTTCCAACACCCTAAACCCCCAAACCCCTAAACCCTAAACCCCTTAACCCTAAACCCCTAAACACTACACCCTACCCTAAACCCTAAGCCCTAAGGTTGTGTATGTTTGTCCATGGAATTTGAAGGCTCGCACTGAGAACTGTGTATAATCGTGCCTTACTGCGTATGTTGAAGCCTTGGGCTCCGTCACGTTTGTCAACAGCAGCCTGAAACAAAGCTGCCTACATAATCCTTATAAACTCATGTATGAAATCCAATTGCCATGTAAAATGCCATTTTCTTCTCCATATGATTCAGCATTGGTTGATGAGAATTATGCATTGACAGCGTGTTCATTCCTTGAACTTAACTTGACGGACAGACATGCCACTGTTTGCTCAAACCTCTACCAAAAAAAGGCTCGTGATACTTGCAAAGGAAGACAGAAATCCAATCAGCTGCTGAGAAGTTCTGGGGCACAAACCACACACTCACCTCCACGCTGGACCTGAACCATGCAGGAGGCATCAGGCTCTGCCTCCTGGGTTTAACGCACGGAAATACATTGGAATACCCGAGACAGCAACCCACGGGAAGATTCAGGAACCTCTTTACGAAACCTTAGGCCTAAACCCTAAATAGTAGTTTCCATGTTCTTTTCCATTATCCCAATACAACTCCTATAATTTCCCTATAGCATCCCTATATCCGTATAGTAGGGCCCCCTGATAAGCCCAGAAACGAGTATAGAGCGCTGCCCAAAGCTGCTCGATGCGCTCGACCAGGGTTGGCGCGTCACCTTACATGTCCACATGGCTGGCACAAGTGGACATCCACATAGGAAGTTTCCAAAATTGTCACTTTATGGTTCTTCCACGCCATGGTGATCTCTGGTGAGTTGTGTGAGGAGTGATGACCCTGAACCAAATACCTCGGCCGGAGCCTGACCGCCAGCCAGAAATCTTGAGGCAGGTTGACTGCCCAGGGCCTGATCCGTCACTGCAAAACCTTCACGAGGTCACTTTTAGCTGGGCACTTGCGGATTTGGGGGCAAGTGGGTACAAAGCATGGGTTCCAGACGGGCGCGCGTCGGTTCGGGAACCATGTTTCGGGAACCATGAACGCATTTCGGGAACCATGAAAGCCGTTTCGGGAACCATGGAGGTCGTTTCGGGAACCATGAAAGGTCGT